TCACCCAGCACAAGCCTAAATTCTATAAAAAGCCCAGCTGCCTGATACCAAGATACCCATAGTTCCTGTGGAGTGCAACCTCCTTTACTGCAGCAAATAAAATGGACCTCCTTTATTTGACTACAGACTTGTTTCTAGTGGTTCTTGGCTGGCTTCAAAACAGGGCAATCCTGATATTAATAATCTGCCCCAATGTCAGACCATGTCACAATTTTGGCTTTGGAAAATGGATCACTGTAACTACTGCTGAAGCAGCTTGAGAGGTTAATTTAACAGAAACAGACTCCTAAACTGAGATTACTGTCAATGAGCAGCCATCCATTTATCTGACTTCTTAAATGACCTCATACATACTGCTTTACCTTCTGAAGGCAGAAAGAAAAATGTAATGGTGGGGTGGGTGTTTGATGCATGGGTTAAGACATCATTTAAGATGTCCACATCTTCTATCAGAATATTTTAGTTCAGTTCCTGGGTTTGTTCCAGCTTCCTGCTAATGCACATGCTGGGAGGCAGCAGGTGATGACTCAAGTGATTGAGTCCCAGCAATCTGGTGGGTCCCTGCCACCCACATGGGAGATCTAATTGAGTGCCTGACCCTCAGCTTTGGCCTGGCCCAGCCCTGGCCATTTCAGCTGTATGGGAATGAACCAGCAGATGGGAGATCTCAATTTCTCTTATTTTCAAATAAATAAAATAAATTTTTAAAAAATGACATGGTAGGTAATAGTGAATGCAGTGGCTACGGGTGTTGCAACCAGCAGTAATACAACATTGTTGCTTTCTTAGAAATATTTATTCATCATAACCTAGAAATATCATTTCAAATAGAAACTTATTTCCCAATTTTAGAAATAAACACCTAGGACTGAAAAAAAAACAACTCTTTACTATAAAAAACATTTTATGATATATAGAACTTCACATTTCAGAAAAATATCATCCTAAAAATCACATAAAGTCAAGTTAAAATCAAGATATGAAAGACAGGTTTGGGGCCAGCATTGTGGTATAGTGGGTAAAGCCACTGCCCGCAGTGCCGGCCTCCCATATGGGCTCCGGTTCAAAACCTGACTGCTCCATTTCCAATCCAGTTCTCTGCTATCACACAGAAAAGCAGTAGAAGATGGGCCAAGTCCTTTGGCTCCTACACCCACATGAAAGACCTAGAGGAAGCTCCTGGCTACAGATTGGCACAGCTCCAGCCATTGCAGCCATCTGGGAGTGAACCAGCAGATGGAAGACCTCTCTCTGCCTCTGCCTGTTGGTAGCTCTGCCTTTCAAAACAAATAAATCTTAAAAACAAACAAAAAAATGAAAAAAAGTAATACAGTTGTCCCTTAGTATACATGGGCATTGGTTCCAGACCCTCCTAGGATACCAAAAGCCAAGGTGCTTATTCAAACTGGCAGAGTATTTTCATTAACCTATGAACATATTTTATGCACAATAATTTTAAATCGCCTCAAATTACTAATAGTATAATACAACGTAAATGTCACATAAAATAATCATTGTTTGGTGCATGAGAAAAAAAGTCTGCATGTGTTCACTACAGATGCAATTTTTTATTATTTTCAGTCTTCAGTTGGTTGAATCCACAGATGCAGAATGTATCCACAGATGTAGCTACAGAGGGCAGACTAGATGACACTGATAAGAACATATTCCTGAACATTTCGTATGTGCCTGGATTTGGGCTATTTTCCATATACTATTTCATTTCAGAAGATTTTCAGTTCAGATGAGGAAGCAAAATTTCAAAGACAATAACTGATGAGCCTAGGATGTAAACTCCAAATGGCAGAATCAAGTTTTGAAACCCATTATGTTTATAATTCCAAACTGCAAGGTTACAAGGTAGATTGTTTCTCTTGGGTGTGACAATAAAATAGCACTGTGCTGGAGTACAAGATTCAATTATATGAAAGCAGGTTTAGGGGGGAAAAACCGTAGTGCAACACTTAAAAGTGTCTTATAGCATTAGGATTTCATTTTTCACATCAAGAATATGTTTTTCTTATTTCATTTAGAGTCAAAATCTACCAAGTATCTTTTACAAATGTGATATAGAGGATATATGTAGCAGAGACTTCTCTATCAATGAATACCCAAATCTAGAAAAAAAACTAATTGGTACATAAATTCTGAATGTCGTCTTGGATTTTTTACAAACTTCTCTCCCTGACTTATGCTCTCCAAGAAGAAAGGACGCAAGTGTGTGAACAATGCATGTGTGAAGAGAATTTCAATAGGAAAGCATTTCCCCCTCCCCAATAATAAAAGTAAAAAGACCTTTAAAGGACATTTTCACTAACAATTCTTTTCTAACTAAAAATAAACAAGTATCTTGACTACTACTTAGGAAATAAAACCAGAATACAGGGAAATCTATAATTCCAATCACATTTTCACCTTCTCTCCTTTTTTACATTTCTCATCCAAATATACTTAGGAGCTCAATAGGCTTAAAAGAATTGGAGCAGGGTAGAGAACAAAGATAAAGGGAATCTGAGAAACAGTTCAAATGGCTGTTCTCATCATTTTCCTAATTTCAAATTGGATGACATTTTTCAGAAGATGCTTACATCACAAATGTAGGGAGAAAACTGTAAAAGTTATTCTACCTTTAAAACAGCATTCTGGCTAAACATCTCAGGAATTAACTAACGTGGCAAAAAATGCAAGAAACCACACACACACAAAAAAAAACTTCCAAGGAAAACAGATATCAAATTAAAGGCACTAGCACTAGTCGATGTAAAACTCTAAGCTAAATAAATCCACTTGTTACAAAGAATACTAGTATTTGTATTTTCTAGATCATTACATGTTAATTGTGTTTTCTCTTTAGATCAAAAATAATTTTAGAAATAAGATACCCAAGTAATATACACAATCTTGTTGAATGCTAAGATCACATTTAAATGCAGAAATAAGGAAAACATCTATGAAGCATATAGCTTATTCAATTTGGGGATGAGATTCTTTTAACTGGGAAGAGGAGAATAATCAATGTTAAAGGGGTTTAATATTTTGGTGAACTATTCAAATCAAAGAATGATCTGCAGAAACCAGAAATATTCAGAATTATATCAAATCCATTTATAAATGTCTTTTATTGGTTGACTCTAAATCAGAATAGCACTTTCATGTGTGACTTCTTAATGACATTTTCTCTGTCAGACTGAAAACTCCAAGAGGGCAAGGCTGCACAGCCCCTTGGGACTGCTGTGGTTCCTCCATCACCATAAGCCAGACACAGAGCACAAGCAATGGGAAAACTGCACAGAATGACTTAGAAAAGGAGATTGTTACCACCCTGGCACTTCTTCTGTGTCATGTGAATCAAATGCAAATAACAAAAACCATTTCTTGTCTGTAGGGCAGAGCTTCAGTTTACCCTTATATCTCAGGAAAAGACTATCTTAGTGAATGATACTCTGGAAAGTTTCTCCTCAAAAGAGATGACACACAGGTTCTAGAAATGTCACACCCACTAGTCAATGTGTTGCATTCAGCAGGTACTAGAAATACTGAGATAAGAGAGGGCCTTTCTGGAGAGCCATCAACATTCATGCAACATCTCAGCCAAAGTTACAGTATTTTGAAGGCAAAAATCTAATAATTAAGGTGAGGACTTAACAGTCCAACGTAACCACCCTGCTGCACACGCGCGTGCACACACACACACACACACTTACTTTAGTTTTACCAGCAATTGATAAGTGAGATTTATTCTTAATAGAACATGCTGGAATAAGAAAATAAAGATTTATATGGTGTCATTTTGTTTGACGTCGGAAAATAGACCTAACCTGACAGCACTGGCTATGTTGCTTCCAGTGGTGTGCAAAAAAGCACCTGGCACTCAGTATGTATTCAAATACACATTTGTGCGTTGAAGACTGGTCAAATGGCTGCAGTGTTCTCAAACGCCCAGATTTTCCTCAGCGGACGAGAATTGAGTTCACAACCAGCAAAACAATCAAGCACAGCTGCCCCAGCTCAGTAAATGCTCAGAGGGAACCTCCCCACCCTGGACCCTTGGGCAGGGAGTGGACTTCAGGCTCAAACATCCTCCACCAGTGCTTTGTTCAACCTAATCACCTCACAACCTTCGTCTGCGTGCGGGCTCCATGGTCGCAGCTAAAGGGGTGCATGGCTCCAGTAAGCCTTTTCTGAGCTCCAGACACCTGCTACCGCGTTGGACCAGGAAGACCCGTCTGGAAGCTAACGGAAGGCGCACGGGAACTCTCGCCCTCGGTGGAGACTAGGGGGCAGAGGACGAAGGCGCAGGCAGCAACCACCGTCTCCTCTGGCCACACCAACCACATTCGTTCCTTTTGCAACGTCTGGTCCATTTCATGCTGTAAAGCGGTCCCCAAAACACTCAATGCAACCGCCTGTAGCCCCAACCACACCGTTCAGGCTCGACACCGCCTCGCTGTTGAGACACCCGGGCTCCTGCACCGAGGCGAGCATTTTGGCGCCAGGGCGCAGAGGGGACCCTTCGAAGGGTACCATCTCTGTGGGTGTTACAGGGTCCGAGCCCGCATTTCGGAGTAGCCCGGCTGACCTCTTCGTGCCCTATGCGCCAGCAAAGGAGTGTCACGCAGTTCTGCGTTTTTAGTACCAAACTTGGGGCGACCAAGGCAACTCCTCCCACCCCGTGAGAAGCAGCAAGCCGAGGCCCCCCAGCGGGGCACGGGAGAAATTTCTCCCAGGGTCCTCCGACGCTCGCCTCACTGGCTCTTTCCAGGGCCGCCTCCGAGCCTGAGCGGGGCGAGCGGAAAGCGAGCGCCCAGGGCTTGGCTCAGCCGCAAGCGCAGTTAGGGAGACCCCGAGCCGCGCCGCACCAGGACGCTCCCGCAGAGCATCCCCATCCGGATCCACAGCGCACGGCTGGCGGGCCCCTAGGGGTGCCAGCCCCACAGCCGGGGGGCAGCGCGGGGCCAGCGCCCGGCCGCACCGCACCGCCTCGCCTCGCCTCGCCTCACCTGCCCGCGGCGAATCCGGCAGCCCCTTGACAGCTCCGGCCAGCCGCCACTGGAAAAGTTTCCGAACTTCTTCGCAGGTCTGTTCGCCCTCGCTTCGGGCGGACCCGGCGAGAGCCAGGAGGAGCAGACAGCGAAAGCCCACGCGCCAGGGTCGCGCTTCCATCGTCGGTGTCCCGGCCACCTCGCCCGGCGGTGGCCCCCGCTCTCCGCGAGCGCCCCGAGCAGCCCCGCGCTGAGACAGCGCCTCGGGCGCCTCGGGACCGCACTCGGAAACTGGCTACACCTGGGAGCGCTCGGGGCTCTCTCCTCTGGAGCCCTGAAACTGAGACGCCGGAGTTACAGGGCGGAGCACTGCAGGGTCTCCCTCCCTGGCTGAGGGCGAGTGGACGCTGCGCGGGCGGAGAACGCTGCTGGGGCCGCAGGAAACCCGGGCGCACCCAGCTCCAGCCACCGCCGCCTCAGCCGCCGCGGGCTCGGCTTGCAGCCGCTAACCTGGGCTGTCCGCGCCGGCCGCGCTCCACGGGAAGCTCCACCCCCCGCACGACACGCCCCGCGGACAGGCCACGCCCCCGACGCGCTGTCCCGCTCCGCGCGGCGGAGACGTGGTCAAGCCCGGCCCCCAGCTGGAGAGACCTTAGAAAGGCAATGGACCGGACCGAAGCAACAGAGAGAAAGCTGGAGCCGGCGCTCCCAGCCTGAGGAAAAGAGAGAATGTATGAATTAGGTCGGGGAAGACAAAATAAACACCAATGGAAGGGAGCTAGAACATTTCTCCACGAATCAAGGCCTCTGTGCGTAGGAATTCGTATTCAAACTGCGTGAAATGGGATCTGTGGACGATGCAAAATCCACATTATATTTATGGTTAAAGATCACACCGGCGAGGCTGGAGAGCACTTAACGGGGTCTGAGAATGTACAGGAGAAGTTAAAATGGCTTTAATTTTTTTTACTGCTTTGAAACATTTTTCTATAACAAGAACTGCAATTTTCTGGAAGAATTTGTAAGTCATGAGAATTACAATCAAACGTTATCACATTCTTATTATCACAGTGAAGTTCAGTTGGTTCTCTTATCACCCAGTGGCATATTTTACCTCAGCACTTTGTATCTGTGGGAGCCTTTCTGAGGTCCCCGCGTCTGGAATTTCCTTAAAACATTCCTCAGAGAACAACTGAGGTGGAGTGCTTAGGGGACTTTCTCACAAGGAAGATCAAGAAATGAAGGCTTCAAGGGATTTTAAAATGGATTCAAAGCATTTTGTCAACTTACAGTTTACAAAAGGAATGCACTAGACACCTCAGCCCAAAAGGCAAGGTGCATTTTGTAAATGGGATTCACTCAACAACAAAGCCTGTGTGAATGACAAGACTGTCTTCATCTACTGCCACCTGCAGAGAGGGCTCCACCTATAGAACAAGGCAGCATTAGGCAGAGGTACTGTCAATGCCTTAGCCACTTTAAGGGAATTTCATCTCAAATCTGAACCCTTGCCAAGAGATAGTGATGAATAATTTTAAGTCGTAGAGAAGCACCGTGGGATTATTTAATAATCATTTGATTTCAAAGACAACTTTCAGCAGGAGGTTGTTTGCTTTAAAATCATTCCAGAGCAAAGGCTGAAATGCTGCCTTAGAGTAAAATAGTAAAATAGTGCTCACTTGGCTTTTTTTTTTTTTTTTTTTTTTGGACAGGCAGAGTGGACAGTGAGAGAGAGAGAGAGGGAGAAAAGTCTTCCTTTTCCGTTGGTTCACCCCCCCAATGGCCGCTGCAGCCGGCCCCCTGCGGCTGTCGCACCGCGCTGATCTGATGGCAGGAGCCAGGTGCTTATCCTGGTCTCCCATGGGGTGCAGGGCCCAAGCACCTGGGCCATCCTCCACTGTACTTCTGGGCCACAGTAGAGAGCTGGCCTGGAAGAGGGGCAACCGGGACAGAATCCGGCACCCCGACTGGGACTAGAACCCGGTGTGCCGGCGCCGCAGGCAGAGGATTAGCCTAGTGAGCCACGGCACTGGCCACTCACTTGCCTTTTAACATCAATTCCCTGAATACTATATATATATGTATGTATGTATATATATATGTTGTTTTTTTTTTTTGACAGGCAGAGTGGACAGTGAGAGAGAGAGACAGAGAGAAAGGTCTTCCTTTTGCCGTTGGTTCACCCTCCAATGGCCGCCGCGGCCGGTGCGCTGCGGCCGGCGCACCGCGCTGATCCGATGGCAGGAGCCAGGTGCTTTTCCTGGTCTCCCATGGGGTGCAGGGCCCAAGCACCTGGGCCATCCTCCACTGCACTCCCTGGCCACAGCAGAGGGCTGGCCTGGAAGAGGGGCAACCGGGACAGAATCCGGCACCCCGACCGGGACTAGAACCCAGTGTGCCGGCGCCGCTAGGCGGAGGATTAGCCTAGTGAGCCGCGGCGCCGGCTTATATATATGTTTTTAAGATTTATTTTATTTGTTTGAAAGGCAGAGTTAGAGAGAGAGAGAGATCTTCCATCTGCTGGCACATTAGCAGAGAACTGGATCAGAGGTGGAGCAGCTGGGTCTCAAACCGGTGCCCATATGGGATGCCAGTGTCACAGACAGTGGCTTTACACATTACATTCCAATTCCATCCCCATGACAGTATCTCAATAAATGAGAATACGCTAGCTGCTTTTAAGTCCTAGGCCTTCAGACAAAGCTTTATATATGTATCCTAGAGAAAAAACTTCATCATGAATTTCTTGTGCTCTAGCCACCAAATGTGCAAAGGCTGCTTGAATGTCACCTGTATTTATTCCAAGAAATAAGAACCACTTTGAGAAGGAATACAGTGCTTATGTGCTAGTCAGACACTAAGTGACTCATTTAATCTTCATAACAACCCTATACAGTAGTTACTACTACTATTGTTGCTTTACAAATGAGGAAATAGACACAGAGAGGTGAATGGCATGAGGAGCCAGAAATCAAACTGAATCCAGAACCTATGCTGTTCCCCACAGGCTCCACCTAGCCAGCCCATGCCATAACAAAGAACCTACTGAGATACATTCAGCAACACCAAAGCTCTTTATGACTATCAGATTTTTGGTTGGTATACATCTTTTCTATCTAATAATTTTATTCTGCTAGATCCCATATGTGTTAACATAGGGCTAATAAATTCCCATGTTTTTCCCATACTCTTATTTTTCATTTTTTAAAATATTTTATTTATTTGAGAGTTAGAGTTATAGACAGAAAGAGGGAGAGACGAAGAGAAAGGTCTTCCATCCACTGGTTCACTCTCCAAATGGCCACAGTGGCCGGAGCTGGGTTGATCTGAAGCCAGGAGCCAGGAGTTTCTTCCAGGTCTCCTATGTGGATGCAAGGGCCCAAGCACTTGGGCCATCTTCCACTGCCTTCCCAGGCCATTAAAGAAATCTGGATTGGAGAAGGAGCAGCCAAGACATGAACTGGTGCCCATATGGGGTTGCCGGCACCACGGGCGGAGACTTAGCCTACTAAGCCACGGTGCCAGCCCCCACACTCTGTTATTCTTTCTAAATTCTCTCCTTGTTAGATTTGATCGTCATAGACTATTAGCATTATAAGGATTATGAGATTAACTAGTCCAACTCATTCAGTTGAAATCTCTAAAACAATTTGTCTTGCAAGGATGAGAATTACAAAGCTTATAAGTATTGCTGGTTCTGTAAAAACTAATCAACACGGATTTTTTTTAAAACTACTATGCTAGGTACAATAGTGGTTACATAAATATGTAAGCAAGCTCTCAGTTATTTGTTTAACATTTATTTCAATAAAACTAGGTGGAAAATCAATACAGAAATGGATTAATACCTAATGAGAAAATAAGGACATTTAGTCTGTATATAATTCCCCCACTGAGGCAGATGTTTGGCCTAGTGGTTAAGATACCCACCTCCCTAATCAGAGTGTCTGAAATCAGTTACTGGCTCCAGCTCCTGACTCCAGCCTTTCACTAACGCAGACCTTGAGGGTATGATAGCTCAAGTAATTAATTCATTCTTGCCACTCAGAAGGAAGATCTAGCTTCTGGCTCTGGCCATTGTAGATATTTGAAAAAGGAAGCAGCAAGTTGGTATTCTCTCTCTCTCTCTCTCTCTCTCTGTCTCCCTATCCCTATCCCAGCCCCTACCTCTATTGTGTCTGTCTCTTGCTCACTTATTCTCTGTATCTCTCTCTGCCTCTCAAATAAAACAAAAAAGAGTCCATAGCAACACAAAAAATAAATGTTTTATTTTTACCTCCCAGCCACTATTGCATCTTGGAAGGGCTTCTTTTCTTCTTGGAATCCTTATGCCAGCCACACAAATAGGAATTATTCTTGCTCTTCCATGAAGCTTCAAGACAAGTTCTGATCTTCCAACCAGAATACAATAGCAAAGTGCCTTTTACATAAACATCCTAGAGCAACCTCTGTACATTGTACCATAACTAATCGTGTGTTCAGTGTACTTATAAATACTACAAATGAAGCTAGAGAAGAATTTCCATAATGTGATTGCTGTAATTTCTCATTTTTCAAAAGCTATTCAATAACCGTTTATTGAATGTCTTTTCTGTCACAGGCTTTGTGCTTTGCTTTCAAAATATCAATACCCTTAGATGGGAGAATCTTCAAATGGTCACTACATAAAATACACTCTAGTGATCTAAATGCAAGCTTCCCTAATACTTTGAAGTGACTGGTTACAATTTTGCAGCTCAGGACCTTGTAAAGAGAAAAAAAATCTCTACCATTTAGGTGATCTTAATGCTATTGCAATCTTCAACCCTGACAACTGTTCTATGCCAAGAGTGACAACTGATTAGCTCACTTCCAGAAGCTGGTTAGGAAACTTCCGTACCCAAGCAATAATAATAGCTAGTATTTATTAAGCACCTACTGATATTACATAATTTAACATTTCAAGCAAATCATGCAACAGATACTATTATAGCACTAATAACAAAACAGAAGTACAAAGACATTAAATAACCTTCCAAAAGCCACAGATCTGGTAATAACCCAGATGCAAGCCAGGCATGACAGCTTCTTCAACCTCTGAGCCACTAAACTCTGCTGTGTCTTATGAGCCAAACACCTATTTTGTGGCCCCTTGAACATAACCTGTCATACATGGGTGGTATCCCTGGTACTCAGTGCCTTTCTTTGTAAGCAGTGAGGCCCATCTTTGTAATAGTCAGAGGGCTGCACTGGTTCTGACTATGGCCTGATAGTACCTCACTACCTTGCAGCTGGCCCACGACCACTTGCTTCCATTTCCTACCTCCACTAAGCTTTGAATCATGACAGCTATATTGTAAGGACCAAAATTCCACCTGCACCTCACAAGATCCCAAAAAGCCTAGCCATGAGCCATGAGTTGTCCTGTTCTTGCCAGGTATACACCCACCGAGAAGGGAAGGTGTCCCTCCCACCTAGCCCCCCTATCCACTCCAGCAGTTTCAGCCTGCCCTTTCTTCAATCTAATGGGTTCTGCTTCCCTACCAGAGCAATTAATTAAACAAGCCAATCACATCCCCTCA